GCAGTATTGCAACTATTATGTTTTTCTTTCTGCTTTTTGCATCATGAAGTGAAAATCCTAAACATTATTGAAAAGTCAGTGTCCACTTCTAATTAAACAATAACGATTAGTTGTCCCATTATCGGGGACACGAAACCCGTAAGGCTTATTTAGGAATCCCTCCCCACATCTCCACCTCCCTACATCCCCAAGGCCAGTTACTTATCTTCCTCAGGCTACAACCCACAACAGTTGCCTAACTCCCAGATATTACTCTTCGGTAGGGACGAAAAAAAAATCGAGGATAAGGAATCGTGCCCAAACGTCTCGTCCTGTCCGGGATTCGAGCGCTGAACTATTCAATTTTGAACCTTAAAATCACTGAACAAACCCATCAGCCATAGTCCCTGAATATATAAACTTAAAACAAGTTTGCAATCTTTCATAAATTCCTAATTTTACAGCCAAATTCAAATGAATATTTAATTCTATCTCTTTCATTCAAGAATTATTTATGTGAATTTACCTGAGGGCCACTATCTCTAGTGGCCTCGACGGGGACAGGACGCCGGTGACTTGTCAAAGGTTCCTTCATTGTTCTTGAGGGTTTTGTCCAGTTCATCTTCTTCAAGACAGGAGCAGTTTGTGTGAAGGTTTTCTCCTGCCGATGACTTCATTTGTTAAGGCTTAAATTTTTGTTGAGTTAAACGATGTTTTTGTTGATTGAGGAGCGAGTTAGATGACGTTGTAGTTGATTGAGGAGCGAGTTAGATGAGGTTGTAGTTGACTGAGGAGGGAATTAGACGATGTTGTTGTTGATTGAGGGGCGAGTTAGACGAATGTATTCAAATACAGGTATCGCGGGCGAGGCTGGGTGTATCAACCCCTGAAGAATTAGTAAAATCACCGCAATAGTCCAACTTAGCAAGTATATATATATATACTTTAGCTCTGCGCCTAGTCCAGGGGGAGGACTTGAGTAAACTCCCAGTGTATACACACCCCGAGAAGCGTGTGTATATATATATATACACACACACACACTCGTTCAGGGTGTGTTGACAGCGACAGCTGATCGCTACTGTATCCTTCCGGCAACGTTCACGTTTTCTGTGTCTGCATGACCGGGTGACTTATAAGTTTTTATGATTTTTTTTTATCTGATTTAGCTGAGGACCAACAACCTTATAGTGGCCTGGATGAGGACAGGACGCCGGCGGCTTGTCAAAGGTCCCCCCATCCCCCCCCCCCATTTGCCTTGATGATCTTTTCCAGGTATATTTTGAAACTCATCACTTTCAGCAGCAGAAATTGTTGAAGTAGACTAGCTGTGACTTTAATTTTGAGTCGACTGGAGATGTTTAGAGAATTTTTCAATGATGTGGATGACAACAAATAAGAAAAATCACACACACACACATATATGAAATGAAATTGGCATCGTTTCGGTCTGTCATGGACCCTTAAAGATCCATATGACGATTCGAAACGTGGCGTCAAATGAATTTCATTTAATATTTTTGGGGGGGTTGGGTTATTTTGAGATCATTAGCCGGTATTTGGTATTTTAAATGTAGTGAGAGGTCTCCTCCCCTATTATATGGTCGATATTGAATAACACCTTGGGGGGGGGGGTGAAACTGAAACTGGCACTATGATGTTAAAAGTAGGGGAGGATATAATATTGTTCAATTGTCTCTAGAACATGGAAGTGGATGCATTGTTATGTCTGTTCTGTATTTATAGCTGTGTGCTGTTATAGTTCTGCGTGTGGCACAGCCTCAGTTTGGTAACTGTTATATCGATTGTTCCAGTTCATTTTTAAACTTAGGGAAGTCCAGATCCAGCGTTGAAGACGTGTGGTTATCGAAAAGCATAAGTTAATTAACTTATTCTTAATTTAAATAATTAATTAACTTAAGTTCTGTTTAAATAACTGAGCTTCTGCAGCAATTTTGCATAATGGATGAGAAAATAAATTTTGAAACCCAATGGGTGCAAGATGCAGTAAATATTAAAAGCCGCTGATCTAATTCAAACCAGTAAATAGAGGCAAGTTTACTTTTACATTTGTTTCCCATAGAAACTAACGTATAGTTTTCTATGACTAATTAAATTCAGAGAAAACCATGAGCGAACAGCTTTTTCTACAAGGAACTACTGTAGTTGTGCTAAGTGAAGCAAGTAGTTGCAATTATCACCAATCCCTTTGCTGGTCCGACCCAATGCTGTTTAACTCGACTGACCGAACGACTCTCATAAGCTCCATCCACAACTTAGGAAGTCATATAGGCTGGGCCAGGGCCTACATACTAGTGGCTTTACAAGATTGTAAATACTATGCTATGTATTCTCACAAACCCAATGTATATACTTGTTTATAAATAACTAAATAAATAAATAAATAATAAATAAATAAATAAATAAATATACAACCAGAAGGTCCCGGGTTCAATTATCTTCACAGGAAAGAAGCGTTTGGGCAATGTTTACTTTCACCTGATGACTCTATTCACCTAGCATTAAAGGGGTACCTCTCGGAGTTAGGCAACTGTTGTGGGTTGTATCCTGGGAATAGTCAGTAGTTGGCCTAGGGGGAAACCTGGATAATGATTGATATCGATACTTTTTTTCAGGGAAATTCTTGCGCGGGCCCTAAGCCTCTGGCTGGCCCATTAATCGTAAATTAAATAAATAAATTTGTATTTAGATAAAAGTACATACATACATATTGAGTTACAATCAGAATGTTGGATTTGTAGAGTGAGCTATAGTATATACTACACCTAAAGGCACTAATATGCACAGCGTTTCTGGCAACCTTTTTGAGATATATACAAGAGTTGTTACATTCTTGTACAGCCACTAGTACGCGTAGCGTTTCGGGCAGGTCCCTGGAATACGATCCCCGCCGCGAAGAATCGTTGTTACAACCAAGTACACATTTTACTGTTGCGTTAAACAGAGGCTACAGTTAATGATTTGCCCCACAGTAAATCCTCCCCGGCCAGGATACGAACCCATGACAAAGCGCTCGCGGCACGCCAGGCGAGGCTCTACACATTAAGAAGTCAACACCAGCAATCAACAGCCAATTAATGCACAACTATATTCTACCCACCTCAAGACTCCGCTCCAATATAGAAGCATCAAGAAATATGGACCAATAGGCTTTCTACAAATCACTTCCATTCAATACCCATTGTTTCGTGTTCTGTCTTGTGTTTAGGAATTTAATACCCTATTAATACCACCTCACCCCATCCACCTCACTCAAATGTAGATATAAACAAATCGAAGATGTGTAAGTTCTATTCAGTTGTGTATGTGTAAGCTAAAGTCTTTGAAAATGTAATAAGTTTTACGAAACGCGCTCAAGTGTCGCGTCAGACTAGAAATAAAAATGAATTTTGGAGAATTGATTTTTGAATTACCACCAACAGTGAAAAGAAAAGTACGAAAGATCGAGAAAATTCGTGTTAGAATTATTAATCTTACTTTTTCGGTCATATTTAATAATATGTCTACAGGAAAGACTGCTACCAAAATATACTAATATATATATATATATATATATATATATATATATATATATATATATATATATATATATATATATATATATATATATATATATATATATATATATATATATATTGCAAATCCACAAAGTAGTGGTGGAAGCTAATATTTGATTGAAAATATATAAGGGAAGTATTCTTCAGATTTTTAATACAAAAAAAATTAATCATAAATTTTTAATACAAAAAAAAATACAAAATGTATTCGTACACGAACACTGCCAAATACAATATTCTCGTTTGTACTAATGACTGCATGAGTTGTTTAACAGGCCTCAGTGATTCATCAATCACTAAGATGTCCACTTGCGAAGCCTGTACATCCTTTCTCAATCATGGCCGTTTAGTTTGCGTTTAATAAACAATTTACGATCTCCGAAGGACTACGAGGCTATTTATAATAACAATAATAATACTCTTAGATTGCGAAGTTTCCGAGCTCGTAAACTGATTAATAAATACGGACTAAATATCCATGAAGGGGGATAAGATGTACAGGTTTCGTAAATGCTTGATGAATATTGGCCAAGACACAAGCTTGCGGAGTGTCTATTAGATCACTAGGGTTGTACTTAACCATCAAGACTCTCTTAAATACATGTAGTGTATTTAATATTTATATATATTATATATATATATATATATATATATATATATATATATATATATATATATATATATATATATATATATATATATATATATTAGGCAACGCCAGTTTGATGCCTTCAGCTTGGTACAACGGATTACATTTGGCTTACCAACTGGAATGTCTATCCGATTATCTGTCTGTCTGTCTGTCTCGCTTTGTGTATGTGTCTATGTCTTATGATTTCTACATGGCCCAGATGGTGTCCGAGTTAACCACTAAAGGTAGAACCAATGAGGTGTTAGAAGATCTCAGAATGCAGATTTCTCATTAGAACATGCATTTTGAGTGTCATTATGTGAATGTTAAAACTCTATGCATTTGGCACCAAACATTTCATCTCCATTGACTTAATGAAGGGTGGCATTGCTGTGGGGGGGGGGGGTCGAGCCCTTATTGAAGGAAGGGGCAATGGGGCTTACCAGAACCTGCCGATGACAAGCCTTCCACACCCACCCATCCCCCTGTAAAGTTTTATGAGGCTAGCCCTTAGCATCTGGCCTCCATCCTTGGATGGAGAGAAACGCTGACGTTCTATTTTACAGATATACTTGAAGGGGGTATCTGGCAATGGCCGAGTCTGTCAGTCTCTCCTTTACTTTCTTCTCATCTACCTCCTTATCATCCCCTTATCTCTATCCCTCCATCTCTCTCTTCCCCAATTCGTGCCTCCTATCCTCTTCTTTCTCTTCTTCATCCCTTTTCTCCCACCTTCTCTTCCACCTTCCCTCTCTTCCCTTCCTCTCTCTTCCCCTCTCCTCCCTGTATCCCAATCTCCCCCTCTCCTAACCTCTCCCCCCTCCCCTTCCTTCTCTCTCCTCCTCTCACTCTCTCTCGCAAAATGCAATATTCCGAAACATATAAACTGCTAAATAACTGTGCAGAAAATTGAACCTCCACTTCAGATCTCATGAAAATCGCCCTGGGGGTCACTTTTAATCCCGAAATTTCTTAAATTGTGGCACTAGTCAAACCGGGCTGGCCTATGACATTCCCACACACCCCTCATGTGTCATCTTGGAAAGGTGCGTTAAACTGGTCCCTAGCGTCTTGTCCCTTAACCTCGGACAGACAGACAGACAGACAGACAGACAGACAGACAGACAGACAGACAGACAGACAGACAGACAGTGTCATTTATAGACATACCTATCTATCACTGCCTCTCAAGACACAGTACGGAAATTAATTTAAATTCTTATAAATCAAATCTTTATTAACCTCGTTTTTATTATTAATGTTATCATAATTAATATTATTACTAGTACTAGTATAATTATTAATTATTATTACCGTTTTTATTGATTATCTTTGTACTATTAATGATAGTATTACACAGAGAAATCACATTATCGTTACTTATCAGTGAGAATATCAACAGGAGCAATGATTAGGGTTCGAACCTAATCGAACGTAGACCACTACGCCACGACAGGGTCAAAGGGATTGCAACCTGGAGTTCTACTGAGCACACGAGGGTTTCCTGAAGCCGCAACAGGAAGTCTACGGATTCTCTCATTGCTGTAGGCACGTTAGTGTGGTTTCTCTCTGACAATTTATAATATTTCAGGATGATAAGGAAGGGTATAGAAGGACTATGAGAAAGAGTCTTGAAGGGAAATGAGGACTTGGAAGGGTACTTCTTGGTACCCCAAGACGTACCCAAGAAGTACCCAAAGGGCCATAAAGGAAAAATATTAAGGGTCATAAGGACAAGTATCCTCTCACTCATAAGTTTACAAGTGAACACACGAACAGAAATTCGTAAATTGGTCCCTGAAAAGCTCTATTATAATTAAAGAATGATGAGATAACTATGGAATAGTGAGATCATCATGGAACTGTGAGGGTGGAAGTGGAGGAGGGCCGCTGTGGTGAAGGCTCGTGGTGACTGGTGGTGGACGGAGTGTGTAGTGGAGGCTGTATGCTGGAGGAAGTATTGAGATGCGGAGGCTGGAGGTCCCGGTGTATGTGGAGGCGGTACAGAAGAGCCTCCAGGGTCCACATCATGCGGGGGTCAACATCGTGGAAGGACACAACATGCCGACTACAGCAGTCCGGTCCCTGTGGAGGGAGAAAGAGAGAATGTTTACACTGGCTACTCTTGGGGCAGACTACTTTATTTGTAACCCATGACCTGTACAACTATACCACACTTGTACACCTATACACCACACACTTACCACCCCATGTTTATGCCAGATGTATCGCCAGTACCAGTGAAGCTTGTTGATGAGAGGCTGCTTGTAGTAGAGGGACATGGGGCTGTTGGAGAAGAACCTGGGCTTGCCTTCCTCGTCCAAGCTGTCTCCCGCAGCCACGCCAACACTCTCAAGACATATCCCTGAGGGTAAACAAAAGTCCAGTCAGCTTACACAACTAAGCTGTCTCCCGCAGCCATACATGGGCTAATAGGAGCTGCCTCATATGGGCCAATAGGAGCTGCCTCATATGGGCCAATAGGAGCTGCCTCATATGGGCCAATAGGAGCTGCCTCGTATGGGCCAATAGGAGCTGCCTCGTATGGGCCAATAGGAGCTGCCTCGTATGGGCCAATAGGAGCTGCCTCATATGGACCAATAGGAGCTGCCTCGTATGGGTCAAAAGGAGCTATAATTATGTTCTTATAGTTATAGCTATTAAACATTGAAAACCTCTCGACTCTAATGAAGACCTGCTGAAGTCCAACATCCTTGCGAAGTCAAGGACTATGCAAGGACCTGTTGAAGTCTAGCATCCATACGAAGTCAAGGACTATGCGAGGACCTGCTGAAGTCCAGCATCCTTACGAAGTCAAGGACTATGCGAGGACCTGCTGAAGTCCAGCATCCTTACGAAGTCAAGGACTATGCGAGGACCTGCTGAAATCCAACATACTTGCGAAGTCAAGGACAATGCGAGGATGCTGAAACCCAAAAGGCTGCAGAATATACCAATCCTCAGGAGGCGTTCTCGCCCAGACTACTTCGATTTCCGAGGCTACTGACCGAGCTGGAGGTCCTCGGCGCCCTTGGTCGCCTCGGAGGGGCACTTCGACTGGTCCTTCAGCGGTAGCGCCTTCGTTACGAATCTCTTCACCGCCTCCCGGCTCAGAACGTAGCCGCCTCCGCCAGACATGTACCCCTAACGGAAGAATTTGAAAATTTAAATTTAAATAAGCTTATTGACGTATAACGGAAGAAAGGTCGCGTCAGTAGGGATTAGGTCAGGTCAGGTCAGGTTATAACTACAGAAGCACAGACCAATTGGGCGCTATTGACCTTGAATTTAGAAGAAACGAGTTAGTTGAAAGGTCGATATTAATCCAAGTTCAAAAATTTTAATATTGGGTGCTAGATCTCCAGAGACCATAGGTCAATAATTAAGGAGGCTTACGAAGGTTAAGGGTCAAAGCTGTTTGAGAGACAATCGCGTCTACGAAGACATAGAAAGGTCAAAGATCACTGATATACAGGTCAGGCAGGTTAAGTGGGTATTAGTTTAAAAACACAGGAAGGTCAAAGGTCACTGATATGCAGGGCAAGAAAAGTTAACAAGGAGCTGGGATATGAGGACAAGGAGCTGGGATATGAGGACAAGGAGCTGGGATATGAGGACAAGGTGCTGGGATATGAGGACAAGGAGCTGGGATATGAGGACAAGGTGCTGGGATATGAGGACAAGGAGCTGGGATATGAGGACAAGGAGCTGGGATATGAGGACAAGGTGCTGGGATATGAGGACAAGGTGCTGGGATATGAGGACAAGGAGCTGGGGTATGAGGACAAGGAACTGGGGTATGAGGACAAGGTGCTGGGATATGAGGACAAGGAGCTGGGATATGAGGACAAGGAGCTGGGATATGAGGACAAGGATCTGGCATATGAGGACAAGGTGCTGGGATATGAGGATAAGGTGCTGGGATATGAGGACAAGGTGCTGGGATATGAGGACAAGGAGCTGGGATATGAGGACAAGGTGCTGGGATATGAGGACAAGGATCTGGCATATGAGGACAAGGTGCTGGGATATGAGGATAAGGTGCTGGGATATGAGGACAAGGTGCTGGGGTATGAGGACAAGGAGCTGGGATATGAGGACAAGGAGCTGTGATATGAGGACAAGGAGCTGGGATATGAGGACAAGGAGCTGGGATATGAGGACAAGGAGCTGTGATATGAGGACAAGGAGCTGGGATATGAGGACAAGGTGCTGGGATATGAGGACAAGGAGCTGGGATATGAGGACAAGGATACTAAATGGTTAAAAGGGAAACTAACCACCAAAATGAATCTGTCCTAGAGCCTAAATAAAGAAATTCTAGGCCTAATATATATATATATATATATATATATATATATATATATATATATATATATATATATATATATATATATATATATATATATATATATATATATATATATATATATATATATATATATATATATATATATATATATATATATATATATATATATATATATACAATCTTACGTCTAATACAACGCAGTCTCAGCATGAGTTACGGGCTCACCATAGCCCGTGCTACATGGACACTTCTGAGTAGTTAAATCTAAAACAACAACAGTCTCAGCATTAATGTAGAATACATCCTATTGTATTCATAGACAATTCTGTTCCATAAAATAACACTAGTACAAATCGTGAACATTTTGAAGTGAAAAAATGTTGTTTTTTGTTTTTTTTTAATTGCTGTAGTTCTGTCATTTTGTTGTGGGCTAGGAATCTGCGAGCATTTACACAACTACTTACGAAACATGTACATCTTCCAACTGTCATGGCGACTTAGCATACATTTATTTAACAGTTTATGAGGTATGAAACGTCACAACCCAAGGTTGTAATTGTTATAAACAACTTTGTAGAGCCTTCGGAGGCCCTTAAACGGTTAAATACATAAAAACAAAGCCCTTATGATTCAGGAAAGATGTACAGGTTTCGTAAGTTCCTCACCTTCTTCCTCCACCCGCACCCCACACCCACTCACTCACCCCAAACACATCCGCCCCCCACACCGCCCCCCCCCACACACACACCTGCTCCCCAAACCTGCCCCCAAACCTACCCCCCCACACCCACCTGCTTCACATGCTGGCGGAACTTAACGCCATAGTACACCGGCTGCCCGGAGTCGAGGCCCCTGAGGAAGTAGCGAAGGTTCTCCACAATGACGAAGGTGTCGTCATCGGCCTTGAGGTACCAGTCATACTCCGGGTGGTGGCGGTGAAGGTGGGCGAGGGCGCCCTTAGTCTTGGCCCACAGGAACCCGTATCCTTCAGGCACGTCGAGCACCTCCGTCTGAAGGTCTGGATCCTCCTGCGTGCTGCAATGAAGCAAGGAGGGATGAAGCAGGGAGGTGAAGCAAAGGGGGGGAGAAGCAGAGAATGAGGCATAACATAATTGTCGGGAAAGCGCCTATAGCCATTACGACTATATAGCACTGGAAAATGGTCAGGACAAGGATTTAGAATAGGTCGGGGAGGGGAAGGAATGGTGCCCAATCACTTGGACGGTCGGGGATTGAACGCCGACCTGCATGAAACTTAATCCAACGTATTTTTAACGGATCGAACAGTAGGTCAAGAATCTCTCTTCGTCTCCCCTCCCTGGAAGGAGAGAATGGGAGCTTACCTGTAGAAAACGATCCTGTCGCAGCGCTGACCCCAGGTATTCCTGACGTGGAGAGCCCTATGGTGGGTGGTAGGACCCGTCAGGATATAGCAGAGTACGAGGGCACTCTCCGCAGGACCTCCTGTTGGGGAGGTAAATGATATACACCGTTATACGCCGTTATACGCACTCATCTCCAGCCTGTCATCTACTGCGACCGTTAAAACCGTTAAAAACCGTTTTTAACGGTTTCGACCCCCAGTCCGTAAACTAAAAAACTGCGACGTATTAGTGAATATTAAAACGTTGTAATATGACGTTTTTTTGGTCCTGTGCATCGGCCTGGATAGATAAGGTGGGTTGCTTGGGTTCGTACGTTCTTGGTTAGACAAAATAGTGGTATTTTTTACGTTTTTGGTTTGGCAAAACAGTTGCATTATTTACGTTTCTGGTGAATATCTCCGCTTGAGAGAAATCACTAGAATGTTTTTCCAGCGCAACAGCTCAAGTACGAAAAGCTTTCCAGTGCTACTGCTGGAGTCCAGAAAGTTTACCAGTGCTACTGCTGGAGTCCAGAAAGCTTTCCAGCGCTACAACTGAAATATAGAAACATTTCCGGCACTTCAGCTTGAATCCAGAAAGTCTTCCAGCGCAAAAGTTCAAGTCCTGATAGCTTTCCAGTGCAATAACTGGAGTCCAGGAAGCTTTCTATCGCTACAATAGTAGTCTAGGAAGCTTTCTAGTGCTGCATCTGAACTCCAGAAAGCTTTCCAGTGCTACAGTATTTGTGTAGGAAGCTTTCCAGTGTAACAACTGGAGTCCAAAAGAGTTTTCCAGACAACTGGAGTCCAGAAACAGTTATCAACATATTCTTAATGCATCTATAAGTCAAGAACTGCTATGCACGAAAGGATTTAGCCTCCTGGAACCTGGATGTTTCCAGTTATCTGGAATACTCAATGATGAGAATTTTAAGTAACAACTTTCTGGCAAATTTTTGTCGAATAAATAAGAATTCTGCTGAAGGATATTCCAGCCCAGGATTCGTCAGCATTTACCCAACCACTTACGAAACCTGTACATCTTTCCTCAAACATGGAGGCCTTGTTTACATATATTAAACAGTTAATGATCTCCGAAGGACTACGAGGTTGTTTATAACAATAATAACCTTGGGTTGTGAAGTTCGTAAACTCTTTAATAAATACAGACTAAGCCACCATGATCAAGGAAAGATGTACAGGTTTCGTAAGTGCTTGATGAGTCTTAGAATATATGTAGATCAGCCAAAGAACACAGGAAGAGTTATATTATTTGCAAGTACGAGTTTCTTATGACTTCAGTATGAGGAGTTAGTAGGATATAAAGGTGAATTTATTCTAATATATATATATAATTATTAAATTATATCAATTATAATAATAAAAATCACCAGATCCTCCCCACTTGCTTACCTACAAGTACATGTACGTTACTTTGAATTAGAAATAGAGAACTAATGTAAATTCTAAAGATGCACTTCAAACGCGAGAGAAAATACTGATTGTTTTGAATTCGCGGAACCAAGAGTGCGCGCGCATAACATCTATTAAAAGACACACGGGGAAATGGCATGATACAGCGGGATATTATTCCCTCCCCTTCACCAGGTCGACTATACTGTGCCCAGTCCCACTGAGAGAACATGAGGTCAATAACCTCAGTGAGGTTGGGCGCCTCACTAGAGCGCCCCTACGCGCGCCCTGAGTCGGTCAGCTCTGAGCCCTGAGCGCTCATTACTGGGCGCCCTGAGCGCCCAACACGCGCACTGACCCCTGAAGTCAGGGGTCAGTGCGGCCATATTGGGCTAAAATTAGCGAATTGGGCTAGTTTTGTGAGGCCGGAGATCCTAAAATCTCGCTACTTGTTACTTTTTTGGGGCTAATTTAAAAATAAGTTGGGCTAATTTGGCCTGTTCATGTTAAGAAAGTCAATGGTTGATTATTTATGCACATATGTGTAACTGACAGCCGCGTCAAACAGCCTGATTGACCACAGCATGAGGTCAGATCAGAGACCGGGCCCCTGGGGACGTTGATCCTCGGAACCTTCGCAAGACAAAGTAGCCGCAAGGTAAGGTATTCCTTCCCCAGGCACGATAGACTTTCCAACCCCTTAATGGTCATTAATACTTCCTCCCAGATAGTGTCTATCCAAGTACCCCCTTCATCCTGAAACGATAGTTCTTAACTATTAGTTCGAAAATGCCAATATGTGACCACCAGAAAATAAATTATAAATGAATCGAATGATACTATTGCGTGTGAAGAACATCGTACTAGAAAATAGAAGAGGCTAGCGAAATTGACGTACTGTCCCGTTTTCTGTTTTGGGTCCTCTGGTTAGATTAGGATAAGAGGGCATTTTAGTGCGACAGTTCTTTTCCTTCGGGAAAACGCATGGGACAAAAATCGTGACACACACACTAAGATATAAACATTCTCCAATGCAACATTTAACATACGTGCAAACTGACTAATGAAACTAAAAATTAACGTAAATAAACTATGAAAATAAGTCCCCAAACTGGGTAGACTATGTGACACTAACATAGATATAACATATACTCATGTTTTTAAATAAGATAAAATATACTTAGGGTAATCAAAATAAATGTTAGGCTTTAGATTTCAGTCAAAACATCAGTTACAGTGATTGTAAGTTACTTTACCTAACTTCTCTCCGTGAGTTACATACTTGCTTACTTCCAGGTATATATATATATATATATATATATATATATATATATATACACCTGGAAGGGTGGTGTTGTGGGGCTCTCAACCCCCCCTCCCCCAACACCGTTAATGACTATCCCCCCCCCCATTCACGTGAGTGGGGGTAGGGGTGGATAGGGAGGCACTTCCCCCCTCTCTCTCTCTCTCCCCTCCTTGTAAATCATGTCTCACCTGAGTGGTGGGGGTTGAGGGGCGGGATCCACCTAGTCAGCTGGTCCGGGTCCCCCTCCTCGGCACTCCACCCCGCCTGAAACATCCGGTGACATCAGCAAAACATCAACCACGCGGTGATTGGCCAGCTACGGCCGGTCCAGTTAGGGTCATTCATCATGACCATCATCAGAATTATTAGCAAACAGCTGTGACATCTAACACGTGTACACACACACACACACACACACACACACACACACACACACACACACACACACACACACACACGTAATTCTGTGGCGCGGGTTCGATTCCCGCACGAGGCAGAAACAAATGGGCAAAGTTTCTTTCACCCTAAGTGCCCCTGTTACCTAGCAGTAAATAGGTACCTGGGAGTTAGTCAGCTGTCACGGGCTGCTTCCTGGGGTGTGTGTGTGTGGTGTAAGAAAAAAAAAAAAAAAAAAAAAAAAAAAAAGTAGTTAGTAAACAGTTGATTGACAGTTGAGAGGCGGGCCGAAAGAGCAAAGCTCAACCCCCGTAAAAACACAACTAGTAAACACACGGGACCAAAGAGCCAGAGCTCAACCCCCGCAAGCACAATTAGGTGAGTACACACACACGCGCGCACTCAACTTTTTTAGTGTCAGAGTGGTTGACAAATGGAATGCATTAGGCAGTGATGTGGTGGAGGCTGACTCTATACACAGTTTCAAATGTAGATATGATAGAGCCCAATAGGCTCAGGAACCTGTACACCTGTTGATTGACAGTTGAGAGGCGGGCCCAAAGAGCCAGAGCTCAACCCCCGCAACCTCAACTAGGTGAGTATACACACACAAGGGCGTAGCGAGAATTATTATCAAGGCTTCAGGATGTAGCGTCATTCACTGGATGCCAAATATAAACATTACTCTGATAATCACAAAATTTCAATCTCTACAATTCTATTATTCCCTAAATAATATTCCCTACCAATCCGAGGTGGGGGGAAAACGATAAGACAATTCTTTACCTCTTGAAGTGCTTCCTCGCTGGCTTCTGAGTCCGTGAGTGATAGGCCAACGAATAGGTGGATGGCGACGCCCAAGCCGAAGCCGAGGAGGAAGGTTGCGAGGGTGCGGACACAGGTTCCCGCCACTAGCCGGCGGGCCATCGTGGTGATGTTGTCTAGAAGAGAAGACTTGCGTTTTATAAGGACGAGCGTCCGAGTGCTTTCAACAGGGGCTTTAGAAGGGTGTTTAACGACATTTATGTGATCTAAAGACCTTTCAATTCGTTTAAAAGGGTTTCCAAGAGTGTACGAGTGATTCTATAAGTTATTTCAGTGTTTGGGTATATATATTAAATCTTCAAAATTCAAAACTTTCTATTTTGAAGCAAGGTTGTGTGAGCATTCTTTCGGCTTTTGATCTGTTTTCTAGTGTATTTTGTTAAGTGATTCTAAGTGACTTACAGAGGAAGATATATACTTACAAGAAGGAAGATTTGGAGAATTGGCTTACTTTGGCATCTTGGGATAATGCTCGAGGTGAGAATGTTTAATGTTTAACTGCATTGTTAGGCCGTGAAAATGTTGTACACAAATAGTAAACACACACACACACACATATCCTGTTGATTGACGGTTGAGAGGCGGGACCAAAGAGCCAGAGCTCAACCCCCGCAAACACAACTAGGTGAGTACAACTAGGTGAGTACACACACACACACACACACACGCACACACGCATACACACACACACACACACACACGCACGCACACACACGCACACACACACGCACACACGCATACACACACGCACACACACACGCACACACGCATACACACACACACACACACCTGTTCACCTAGCAGTAAATAGGTACCTGCGTGTAGAAATTAGACAGCTGCTACGGGCTACTTCCTTGGGATGTGTACTCACCTAGTTGCGCTTGCGAGGGGTTGAGCTCTGACTCTTTGGGCCCGCCTCTCAATTGTCAATCAATCAACTGTTGGTGTTTTTCACACACACACACACACACACACACACACACACACACACACACACACACACACACACACACACACACACACACACACACACACACACACACACACAGAGGAAGCAGCCAGGAGCAGCTGTCTAACTCCCAGGTACCTATTTACTGCTAGGTGAACAGAGGCATTAGGATGAAAGAAACTCTGCCCATTTCTTTCTGCATCCGCCGGGGATCGAACCCGGATCCTTAAGACTACGAATACCGAGCGCTGTCATTCAAGATTCTCAAGGGAATTGATAGGATAGATAAAGACAGGCTATTTAACACAAGGGGACACAGGTGGAAACTGAGTGCCCAAATGAGCCACAGAGATATTAGAAAGAACTTTTTTAGTGTCAGAGTGGTTGACAAATGGAATGCATTAGGAAGTGATGTGGTGGAGGCTGACTCCATACACAGTTTCAAGTGTAGGTATGATAGAGCCCAGTAGGCTCAGGTATATGTATACCTGTTGATTGACGGTTGAGAGGCGGGACCAAAGAGCCAGAGCTCAACCCCGGCAATCACAAATAGGTGAGCACAACTAGGTGAGTACACTATGGTTGGAAGACGGGACACCCCGAGATTAGCTCTCATCCTGTAACTACACTTAGGTAATTACACTTAGGTAACTACACTTATTCAATTACACACACACACACACACACACACACACACACACACACACTCCAAACCAGGAAGCCTGGCGAGAGACCGGGCTGCAAGGACAATGATTCCCGGAACCACCTCCAGGCAAGCACTAGACATGTTTCACATCCCATTGTCAAAGTTGACCGGAAACCACGTAACTCAGCCCGTATAGTTCCGTGCTCCAGGGAACTGTTGCTGTTGTCATGGTGTTTACCAAGAACCGGTTGCATGGTGATTAGCGGTTCCTTGAACCTGGCACCTTCGTTATCTTACCTGGGGTGCCAAACTCCACAGACTAATTGAGTTGTTTATCACTGTGGCACTCGCTAAATCACTGTCACATGTGTTCTATATATGTCTTTCTTTTTTTAACGCTGTTGTTGTTGTTGTTGTTAAAGATTTATAGCTACTTAAGACGAAGTGTCCATGTAGCACGGGATATGGTGAGCCCGTAAACTTTTTCAACGCGTAACACGAACTTTTCGTATAGTTTTCATTCGTCAACACCTGGCTCACTTCGACTAACGGAACGCTGCGTTCCCCGCCCGTTTGAGCTACCGTTGGCTATTGTAGTTTCGCCTTTACAGTCACTGTTTTGACTGCTGTTGTAGCATCGACTTTGCGGAGTGTCTATTTTGACTGTGATTGGCGATAGATTGCCCCGAATGACAGTCATTTGATGAGAGAATTCGCGTAAAGATTCACCTGGTGGGGGCCGCGGAGACCAGCTCCTTGGTGTGTGTGGTGTGGTGGCTGGTCCGGGATGGTGTGGTAACGGTTGGGTAGTGAACCTTCCCTCTCCCTCCTCCGCTCCCTCTCCCATCCCTCCCTCGATCCTCTCTCCCCTCCTTCCCGTTCTCTTTCCATCCTTCGTCAGGGAGTCTCGCTTCCTATCCCCAAACCCACCTCATTAAATCCTTGGATTACCTTTTCTCTCTTCTTTCCTCTTATCTCCCTTCCTCCCTCCCACTATAATTCTCTCACACGCTCCCTCCTTCTGGCATCGTCTGGGAGATCGTAGTCCTGTGTTTACTTAGCTAAGGAGTGATCCGTCAGTGCTATGTTAAAGACGGCATAATAGAAAGCGGGGAAAACTCCTTCAGAGAAAACCTTTGTGATATTAGCTAGGGATAACTTCAATAAATTTCTCTCCCACTGTGGTTTATCAGACCTGACTAACCCTATCAGTGACTCATCTTAATTAAGAACAAAGGTAACTGCAGAAGGCCTATTGGCCTATACGAGGCAGCTCCTATTTATAACCACCCAATCTCACTCATATACATGTCCAACCCGCGCTTGAAACAATCGAGGGACCCCACCTCCATCACGTTACGCGGCAATTGGTTCCACAAATCAACAACCCTGTTACCGAACCAGTATTTACCCAAGTCTTTCCTAAATCTAAACTTATCCAATTTATACCCATTGTTTCGTGTTCTGTCTTGTGTTGATACTTTTAATATCCTATTAATATCCCCTTTGTTATGTCCATTCATCCACTTGTAAACCTCTATCATGTCACCCCTTACTCTTCGCCTTTCCAGTGAATGCAATTTAAGCTTTGTTAATCTTTCTTCATATGGAAGATTTCTAATTTGGGGAATTAACTTAGTCATCCTACGCTGGACACGTTCAAGTGAATTTATATCCATTCTATCTCAGTGATAGTGACTCACTATCACTTCAAGTTGATCTAAATAGGGTTTTGGCATGAGTATTGAAAATACTTTGCTTGCCACTCTCCATAGTGTATAGTAGGTCACTGGAGACGGGAGACCTACCAGAAACATGAAAGACGGCTATTGAAGTCCCAATATACAAAAAGGTGATAGGCAAGAGGCACTGAACTACAGGCCAGTGTCCTTAACTTGTATACCATGCAAGGTAATGGGGAAGATCATGAGAAAAAACCTAGTAACACATCTGGAGAGAAGAGACTTCATGACAAACCGCCAACATGGGTTCAGGGAGGGTAAATCTTGCCTCACTTTGTTTACGAGAATTTTACGATCAGGTGACAAAGATTAAGCAAGAAAGAGAGAGCTGGGCAGACTGCATTTTCTTGGATTGTCAGAAAGCCTTTGACACAGTACCCCATAAGAGGCTGGTACATAAGTTGGAGAAACAGGCAGGAGTAACTGGTATGGGACTCCAATGGATAAGGAAATACCTAAGCAACAGGAAGCGGAGAGTTATAGTGAGGGGTGAGACCTCAGATTGGCGTGAAGTCACCAGCGGAGTCCCACAGGGCTCTGTACTCGGACCTAACCTGTTTCTGATATACATAAATGATCTTCTAGAGGGCATAAACTCATTCATCTCAATGTTTGCTGATGGTGCTAAAATTATGAGAAGGATTAAGACAGAGGAGGACTGCTTGAGGCTTCAAGAAGACCTGGACAAACTGAAGGAATGGCCCAACAAACGGTTGTTGGGGTTTAACCCAAGCAAATGTAATGTAATGAAGATAGGTGTAGGGAGCAGGAGGCTAGCTACAAGGTACCATTTGGGAGATGAAATTATTCAAGAGTCAGAGAGAGAAAAAGACCTGGGGGTTGATATCACGTCAGACTTATCCCCCCGAAGCTCATATCAAGAGGATAACATCTGCGGCATATGCCAGGTTGGCCAATATAAGAACAGCCCTTAGAAACTTGTGTAAGGAATCATTCAGAACCTTGTATGCCACGTATGTCAGACCAAACTTGGAGTATGCAGCTCCAGTATTGAGTCCATATCTCGTCAAGCATAAGACTAAATTTGAGAAGTTTCAGAGGTTTGCCACCAGACTAGTACCCGAACTGAGGGACATGGGCTATGAGGAGAGACTACGGGAATTAAACCTCACGTCGCTGGAAGACAGAAGAGTTAGGGGGGACATGATCACCACATACAAGATCAGCAAGTGAATTTATAGGGTAGACAAATAATTTATTTAACACAAGGGGCACTCACACACACACCAGGGGGACACAGGTGAAAATTGTGTGCCCAAATGAGCCATCGAGACATCAGAAATGATTTGTTTAGTGTCAGAGTGGTTGACAAATGGAATGCATTAGGCAGTGATGTGGTGGAGGCTGACTCCATACACAGTTTCAAGTGTAGATATGATAGAGCCCAGTAGGCTCAGGAATCTGTACACCAGTTGATTGACGGTTGAGAGGCGGGACCAAAGAGCCGAAGATCAACTAGGCTCAAGCACCACTAGGTGACTACACAGATGCTACTAGTGTATGCCCAAAACGTACCAGAAAACATACCACAATCAACACAACGAGTGAATCAACTCGTAAGACCAACGAGTCATGGTAATGTTCCCGCGCGTCAAGTCAACAGGTTTCAGGAGATTCGGACGCGGACTCGGATGAACGCTTCTCTCAGGTGTATAGCTCACCTGTGCCTTTTATTTTTATTTACTCAGGTGTGTACAGAAGCATACGGTTCATGACTCCTGTTAGCAGGAGGATTTTAGCAGGAGTTAGTCCTGACTAACTGACTAACTAGTTCCGAGTTAGCAGGAGGACTGTTCTGACTCCTACTAGCAGGCTGAGAGCCGTCCCATCCTATAACTTTATATATATATATATATATATATATATATATATATATATATATATATATATATATATATATATATATATACAGAGGCTGTATATTAACATATATATTTATATATTAACAGAGGCACCCAGTTAATCCTCCCCGGCCAGGATATGAACCCATGACAAAGCGCTCGCGGAACGTCAGGCGAGTGTCTTACCACTACACCACGGAGACTTTACTCATGGTAACTCATGAGTAAGCCTTACCTAACCTACTAATTATTCCCTGGAACACGACCCGCCAATCGGT